TTCTCTCACATCAGCCCCTCCTCAGCTGAGCAGCCGGGCTTTGGCCATCCCAAGGGGCTTTTCTGCCCCCAACTCAGTGTCCCTGCCATCCCAGCCCAGGCTCTGTGCAGCCTGAATCCCTAAGGTCAGCACATCCCTTCTGGGGAATGGCACCCTCTGGGGCCAGCCCAGGGCTTCTGGCCTCAAGGAGGGCAAAGGACAATTAGAAGAGGACACCTGGAAGCTATCAAACCGGAAGAGGGGCCCAGTCAGCCTGGGGCCGTAGAGAAGGTCTAAGACGGAGTAGGAAAAGAACCCAGGCTCCTGTCTCCCTCCTAAAACGGAAGGCAGGACCCTGATGGTGACCAGGCCTCCTCTGGGTAGTCTGAGCAAGACCACTTCCCAGGCCCTGGGTGATCAGACTCCTTACCCCACCTTCTGAGCAGGCTGGAGGTGGGCCAAGGAGCTGGCTGCATATCCTCACCAGGGCCAGGAGGGGCATGTTTGTGGAGCAGGGAGTCACAGGTGACCTGGCGTCTAACACATGAGACTGGCTAAGTAGGACATGGCAGATACACACAGTGAGATGCTATTGAGGGATGACAGGTCAGGAACTAGATAGATCTTAAAGTTTATATTGACTGCAAAACCAGGAAGCAGAATGAGGTCTATAAGGCTATCATTTCTAGCCTTTAAAAATATATACCCACCTCCAGTGCATGGCAGATTTTATACAGACAACACAGATGAGGGCACATCTGAGGGTCGGGGTGAAGATGAAGGTAAAAAAAATTTGATAAAGAAACAAGACTTGTGTATACCAATGATAATGGTTAGTTTGCTTTGAACTGAGAATTAGAGTTAATTCAGTTCTCTGCATTTATAAAAACAGGAGTCTCTGAGGAAAGTTCTTATTGGAACCCATTTTTTTGAGTCTCTAGTTCCAGGCCTAAGGGTTGGATGACTATATATGCTGGAAAAAGAGATGCCAGCCGTTCCACAAAATTATGTTGCCAGGACTGCTGGCTCCTGCATTTGGAGTAGGCCAAAAGACCCTTTTTCCAGGATCTCTCTTTAAAAATGCACACTTTTGGGGGTAGAGGACTGATCACACAGTCTGGTTGTAACTGGACTTCACCCAACATTGGCCACCCTGCCTGGAGGGCCTGGTTGTACGCTGGGCCAGAAACAGCAGACCAGCCTTCCTTACCCCTATACCTCCACACCCCCCAAATCCCCACTCAGGCCTTCCTCAGGCCCCTTCCAATATAACCCCCTACCTCCAGCCCTGCAGAGGGGCTGAGATTCCAAGCCAGGCTGCTGATGGAATGTCCCCTGGGAGAGCAGCCCCAGAGAAGGAGGCATTGTTCCTTCCTGGAAAAACATACCAGTCATGGGAGGAGACCTGCTGTTGCTTAGGACAGGACCGTGGCAGGGGATCCTGAGGGTGAGGTGGGGGGACCCAGACTGGCTGTTCTTTTCCAGCAGCTTTCCTGAGCTGCTGCCTCCCAGAGCACTGAGGGTATGACAGGGGTGGAACACAGCAGGGCAGGGAGGGAAGGACAATTGGGGGGAGGCACAGGAGGCCCCCATGATTAGATGTGGAAAGAAGAAATCTGCAGTAATGGTTAGAGTTATCCATTTGAATTCTAGAAAAGGTGTAACTAATCTATGATGATTAAAAAGCAGTTTGGTGGTTTCCTGGGGTGGTTGAGGGAGGTCAAGGGATGTACTGGGAAGGGGCAGCAGGGATGATGGAAGCAATCCAGATGTAGCCTGATTGTGGTGGTAGCTACATGGCTTTATACATTTGTTAGAGCGTATCAAACTATACACATATGGATTATACCATAAAAAGAATGACAAGAGTAGTCCTGGGGGCAGTTAGGAGCTAGTACCTCCTCCTGGGGCTGCCCCAATTCACTGTGTGACTGTGGACAAATTCATTGCCCTCTCTGGGCCTCAGTTTCATCCAGCACTTCCAAAGGCATTGTGAACCGAGGTGTCTTGATGGACGCTTGTGGTTGCTTGGAATAGTCATGTATTGCATTGCTGATCATTAAAGAAGCTCACCTGGCAGACATCCCCAAAGCAAACGTTCCTGAGCCCCATGGATTGCCTTGCTGAGGAGGTGAGTGAGACTCAGGCCTTGTCCTCAGAGAGCACTGTCTGGAGGGAAGGCAACACCAGTAATATGATGAAATCCAATTGCAGGTCAATACAGGATGGAGTAATGAGATAAGTATGTGAGGCCTGAGATGTCATTGTCACTCAGGGAAGATGTCCTAGAATAAGAGGTACCTGCCTGAGCCTGAGATTCCTCAACAGTAAGAGAGAGAAGCCCGTCATCTATGGCTGTTCCCACTGCGACTGGGAACAGCTGCCCCAAGTTGTCTGTCATCAGTCTCACTCCGAATCCCCAAATGTGGTACACAAAGTTGTCCTTCCCCCGTAGCCCTAGAGCTCACAGAAATCCCTGCTCTACTCAGTTTCACTTTAAGCTTTTTTTTTTTTTTTTTGTGAGACAGAGTCTCACTTTGTCACCCTTGGTAGAGTGCCATGGCGTCTCAACTCACAGCAACCTCAAACTCTTGGGCTCAAGTAATCCTCTTGCCTCAGCCTCCCAAGTAGCTGGGACCACAGGCACTCCGTCACAATGCCTGGCTAATTTAGAGACGGGGATCTCGCTCTGGCTATGGCTGGTCTCAAACTCATGAGCTCAAGTGATCCACTTGCCTTAAACTCCCAGAGTGCTAGGATTACAGGCATGAACCACCGTGCCGGCCCTAAGCCTTTTTATTTAAGTGCAGAACATTAGTGCATCATCTCAGGACAAACATCAATGAGACTGAAATTCAGAACTATTGAGAGGTTATCAGGCCTCAGTCTGTAGGCTTCCATCTGTGACTAGGGTCAGACTATATGTGACTAGAGTCAGGGCTCAGTGTGTGACCAGGATTGGGGCTCAGTCTGTGACCAGGGTCAGATTTCAGTGTGTGGCCAGGGTCAGAACTCATTCTGTGACCAGGATCAGGGCTCAATGTGTGGCCAGGGTTGGGGCTCCGTCTGTGACCATGGTCAGAGCTCAGTCAGAGGCCAGGAACAACATGGCCCTCACTGGCCCCACCTGGCCTTTGACTCAGCTGGCTCTTCCAACTTCCCTGGATTGCATAGCCAGCTCATGAAATGGCCTAGAGAGGAAGGGTCGGGCCAGAAAAGCTTTGTGGAGCCATCTGTGCAGTATTTGTTGAAACTGAGCCTGGGGTGGGGGCGGCAGGCTGTCTGGTGCCAAATGCTGGGTCCCATGAGGCCTCAGGCCCTGCTGCCACACCCCACACATTGCTGAGGTAAAGGACCGTTCCTCTTATCCTCACCGCCACCCCCCCTGCCCAGGCTTCCGGGGACCAGTGGGTGAGAACCCGCTCCCAGCTGGTATGAGGACTGAAAAGTCTCTTGGGGAATGACTGCAAACATTCCTGGGGGCTCGAGTAACAGTGCCTAGGCTGGCCAAGAAGTCCCCCATCAGCCAGAAGCCACCTCATCCTCACCCACCCTGTATTCCACGCTGCGTCTTCATTCCCAGTAGGTGAGGTCACCCTGGCTGCCTGGACCAGGCTTCCCAGTGAACCCAAGCTCCATGGAGAGCAGGGCTAGGGCCTGGGAACCTGGGGGTGGGGGCGGGGAGGGGTTAAGGCTGACTCTTCTGTCATATGCTTAGAAGCCAGATTCCCCCTACCTCCGCCTCGTCTTGTGGACCTAAAAGCTAATGAGGGGGTCTTGGCAGAGAGACTCAACCCCCCACTACTCAACCCCCTGTAGCTTGCTGTTGTCCTTTCCCACTTCCCCAAGAGCAGAGGGCTAAAGAAACTAAGAGGAACTAATAGCCTCATCTCGTCATTTACTTTGACAGATCCCTGAGGCTAGAGAGGAGAGGGTACTTTGATGCCCCAGACCCACTTCCCTTTGAGTCAGAGGCTGAGCTGGGATAGAGCCTGGCCCTGGTGCCCCTGCCCACTCCCACCCCACCTGTGAGCCTGTACTCCTTTATTCCAGTGCTGGATGGGATCTGGACACCGGACTTTGGTTTCTGCTTATTCCTAGTCACAGTTACTTGAACTAAGTAAGAGTTACTTAGTTCCCTGTGGGGAAGGTGGAGGGATCAGAGTGGAGTAGACATACTCCAGTGGCTCTGGCATATCCCAAGAACAAGTGATCACAGGGCTGGAACAGCCTCCAGACTTCCCCTGGGCCTTTCAAGAGAGGGAGCCAGGGCCTCCCTCAGGTTGGAGGCCCAGAGGTTGCAGATGGGGAGGTTGTGGTTGGGTCTGTGGTGCCAATGGTAGGAAGTGGTGGCAGGTGATGGGGGAGGAGGGGCCGCGCCAGGAAGAAACAAACCCTGAGTAGGTCCGGCTGGGTGCCCAGGCTGAGAATCCTGCCTAGTCAGCAGGCTGCTCTGGGGAAGTGTTTTCCTTTTAGCCTGTCCCTTCCTGCCCTCCCTGACTCCTGCCAGCCAACTTCCACCTGGCTTTGCCCATGAGACTTCTGGGACTCACTTTGGGCCAGAAGCCCAGGGCTATCTTGGTGGTTCACACAGAATACTGGCTGCTGGGTTGAGAGGAGCAGAGGGCATCTAGGGACTGGTGTCCAGAGGCCTAGGGAATAAGGACACCAGGGCGTGTCTGTCAGGAAATTGCTTGGTTCACTAGGTCCTGCCTTGAGGCCTTTGTTCATGCCATCCACCCTGCCAAAAACACCCTTTTCTGTTCTCTGGCTCTCTAAATTCTGCCCGTCTCCCAGATCTTGTCCCAGAACTTTCAGCAGGTCTCAGTGGCCCCCACACCACAGAGCTCCAGAGTGAGCTCCTGCTGCCTGACCCCACACCTGAGCCCAGGACCCAATGCTCAGGGGAGAATGGTGGGGGTGTTTGGGGTAGGGAGAGGCCTCTGGGCATGAGTGGTGGCCAGCCTGGCCCTCTCAACATCCTGCTCTTCCCCCTCTCTCTCTCCCACTGCCCACTCCAGGTCTCCCTGACTTGGTCCCAGACCCCAACTACGTGCAAGCATCCACTTATGTGCAGAGAGCCCACCTGTATTCCCTGCGCTGTGCTGCAGAGGAGAAGTGTCTGGCCAGGTAAGGGGCTAGGGGAGGGGCAGAGAGGTCAGGACAGTCCCAGGGCTCCTGCCAGCCAGGCAGATGACATGCCGAGTGCCCGGGCCTCTTGGGACCCTAACCTCTTCCTCTATGAGACATCCAGCATGGCTGGATACACACGTCACTATATGACATGAAGACTTTACCTGTGCTGTGGCATTTAATTTTCACACAAGCCTTGGAGGTATGTTCTCCATCATGAAGCTGAGGAACATTGAAAGGATCTCAGAGTTTTCAGCTCTGAGCTGTCTAAGGAGAAGGTCCCTCGTGGGGAGCCCAAGAGTGCTCATACGAGAACCCAGGGAAGGCTGACAGGGTGGGCAGGGCTTCTGGGTAGAGGCCAGGATATGGAGCCAGGTCTGCAGAGGACAGTGGTGGCTTTGGCTGGCCCAGGCTGTCTCTGCCTAGTCACAGTGAGTGCACTGACATAGAGACCTTCATTATGTGTTGCATGTAGAGAGGGTAAGGAGACCAGAAGGTGAGCACAGCCGACTGGCATTATTCATGGGTGGCCCTGCCTCTTGCAGAGCCTGCTTCTGAATTTATTAGTAGTCACTAGTCTGCTCAGTTATGAATACTTTGGGGGGGTGGTGTATCTCCCTGCAATAAAAGAACTAGTTAGAGGTCTCATTGCTCTGCTGCCTTTGTTGCTAGCTCTCTATGTTAAAGGCACTTATTTTTCTTAACTACTTGCTTTTTTTGACATTTGAACTCTATTTATTTTTACTATCTAGGAATTCCCTTGGAATCTCAGCATTTTTCATTTCCAGAACTAGTTCTCTGCCACTCAAGAGTAGGAGACATCCGTTGTTACCAGCCTGTAATAAGATTAGGGCCTTGCACCTCAACTCACTGCTTCTTTCACTGAGAATAGCGTGCTCTTAATAAAATAGTATTAGCGGAACTAAGCAGCATGATTAGTAAGGTGGTCGGTTTACATTCTGGTGCGGGTTCCTGATCGCATCACAGACTGGCAGCAAACAGCTGAGGGACAGCACCGGTCCAGGGACTATACATTGAGTACCCCTCAGTTCCCTGCTCATACCATTCTGGTCTTGTCTCAATTGTCCCTTGAAAGGGTATAATGCTCCTGCTGAAATTCCACCAGTGACCAGGAACTTGCACCCTCAATAACAGCCTCTCCAGTTGTGAGGCGTTTTATAAAAGCCAAACTATCACTATAGCTCCATGGAGCATTCCAGGTGCCCAGACCTGAGCTCCCGGATGGGTTGAGGAGGCAGCCGTGGCCTCTGTCTAGAGGATCTCCGGGTCCCACTGGAGAAAGTGAGGCTTACCTGCACCTCAATAACAGAAGCAAGCCACAAGAGTGGGATGAGAGCCTAAAGGAGTGGTTCACTGGCCAAGCCAGGTCAGAGGAGGGAGAGGGGGGCAAAGGCTGAAGCATCAGAAGGGGCTGGGTGTAGGAGCACAGCTCAGAAGCCCTCTGTAGAATTGGAGCCCTGGATGGGGAGGGCCCTCCAAGGTCATCTTGAGTATGGGCCACAGGCCTGTGCCAGTTCACGCCGCAGGCAGAACGCAGAGGAGGGAAGGGACTTGCTCCAAGTCTCACCACTATTATGTAGCCAAGCTGGGCCTGGAACCTAGACCCTGATGTTTCCCACAGTGTGCTGAGCTGAACAGAAAGGCAGGATTTAACTGAACAGAGGGAAGGAGGATGTTTTGTTTCAACCCAGACACAGACAGATTCCAAGCCTCCCCCAGACAAGGCTGAGAGCCTTACTTCCTGGCAGACAGGAGTCTGAGCCGCCTGTTGTCCAGACATACTCTCAGAGAGAGCGCTAATCCCCATGACTGGCCACCTCTCGCCTCTGGCCTTAGGACTCAGACTTTAATGAGTGCCAGCGAAGTGCCCCTGAGGCCAGCTAGAACAGCTGTCAGTGGTCAGCTGCAGAGGGGAGGAGCCTTCAGCCAGCCCCTCTGTTCCTACAGCCCCGCCCGGTGTGTGTGCGCGCGTGTGCGGTGTGGGATTGCATCTGTATGTGAGCATGTGCATTTCCCCTCCCTACTGTCCCCCATTCCTCTTTCTGCCCTTCTTCCCTTCTCACACAGTTTTTCTCAGTTGGGAATTTGGGGTCAGGGAGTTGTGAGCAGGAAGTCCACGTCAGACCCATGCTCCCTGAATCCAGCCCTAAAGCCATACAATCTGGGGGGGTGGTGGCCTGGTCACACCCAGCCCAGTGCAGGGGGCAGGTGGAATCAGGCAGTACTGTTAGAGCTCACAGGCTTCAGGAGGCCTCTGAGTGAAGCAATCAGAGCAGACTTCCTGAGGGAGGGGACTTGGGTTGGGCCTAGGAGGCTGGGCGGGCTTTGGAATTCTAGGTCAAGAAAACAGCATGGGCAAAAGAATGGATTAGGGAAAGAGTTCTATTTGAGAAATTGACTTTGAAGCAGGAACCCACAGTGAGTGGTATATAGGAGATCGGAAGGACAGATGGGACCAGGAACTGAAGAGGCTTTCACTCCAGCAGCTCAAGCCTACTTCTTTACACCCACACGTGAGATACAGCATACTTGATCATCAATTAGGGCTTTGCCTGGAGGAGGAAAGAGTTACCAGAACCTCCTGGATAGGGAGGCCATCAGCCTATCTCATTGCAACCTCAGACTCCGGGGCCTGGTGATCCTCCTGCCTCAGCCTCCTGAGTAGCTGGGACTACCTACAGATGCCTGCCACCATGCCCAGCTTGTTTTTCTATTTTTAGTAGAGACAGGTTCTCACTCTTGCTCAGGCTGGTCTGGAACTCCTGAGCGCAAGCAGTCCACCTGCCTCAGCCTCCCAGAGTGCTGGGATTACAGGCGTGAGCCACCACACCTGGCCTCCAAATATTTTTCTATGTCCCTGCTCCCAAGTACTGTCTTTCACTGATTCACCTACAGGCATCAGGGACTTTCAGAGGGTCATTGCTAGGCCTGATGTCACTTTTGAAAGACTGTTGGCAACTCTGAGCCACATAGTGGAGGCCAGAAAGGAGGAGACAGCCAGGCACTCATTGGGTCGGGGCAGAGAGGAAGAGCCTGAGCCTCTGCCATGGGGGAATGTAGGGGAGGCAATACAAGGCCCCTGGGGAGTACCAATAGCCAGGGCCTAGAGTACCAATAACCAGGGCTTGGAGTGGGGACCTGTGTGGCCCCTGATGTGTTTGGTGTCCTTGGACCCATAGCCCCACTCTGGTCCTCTGCCTGTCCCCGCAGTACAGCCTATGCGCCTGAAGCCACGGACTATGACGTGCGGGTGCTGCTGCGCTTCCCCCAGCGTGTGAAGAACCAGGGCACAGCGGACTTCCTCCCCAACCGGCCACGGCACACCTGGGAGTGGCACAGCTGCCACCAGTGAGTAGGGTAGGGATGGGCTCCCTAACCTCATTAGCTCTGTGGGGACACGTGCTGGTTGGAGGCCTCAGGAGGTGCCAGGGATCCAGCTCTACAGCCCACGTTCCTTAGAGGAACTTTAGCCAAATCTGGGCTGGAGGATGGAAAATAGAAGGGTTGGTCTTTATAAGGGATGGAAATGTCTAAAACACAGGGTATCGCCCAAGGGAGGCCAGTACAGGTGGGAGCCCAAAGGGAAGGGAGCCCCCTGAGGAGGTGCTCTCCTAGGGTGACCTGGCTATGTGGGGAGCACCAGAGCGGGACTCGGGACAGGAGAGCCCGGACCAGTCAGGCGGCTGTGTCACAGCAGGGTCACCTGGGCCCAGGGGAGACTAGGCCCTCTTCTCCCTTCTCCTCCTGTCCTCTGCCCCAGACATTACCACAGCATGGACGAGTTCAGTCACTATGACCTACTGGATGCAGCCACGGGCAAGAAGGTGGCTGAGGGCCACAAGGCCAGCTTCTGCCTGGAGGACAGCACCTGTGACTTTGGCAACCTCAAGCGCTATGCATGCACCTCCCATACGCAGGTTGGACTAGAGGGGCAGGCTCGGGTGGGAGGATGGGGCTGGGGGAGGCAGAGAACAATGCCACACACTGAGGCAGGCCGAGCGTGGTCTTCTTACCAGTCCCCAAGCCACCCTAGGGCCCATAGGGAATGTCCTTTCCTACATCATTCCATTCCAGGGTGTCTGCTATGGGGAGAAAGGAACATTGCAACGAAGTCTGGATAGCATCATGTCCTGATTGCCTATTTGTCCGCCCAAATCCATCTTTCCATCAGCTCATCCAAGTATCCATAGACTGTCCATCATCTATCCTGTCTACTTTATCCATTCCTCCAACCTTCTTTCCCAGGCATCCATCACACCCTCATTTCACACATACAACACCCCACCTGGCTATTGTATTTCTCTGTCTTCTCTCTGGTCCAGTGGCCTTAGGAAGGGACAGACCTACCCTGAGCAGCTGCCCTGGGCCAGGGTCAGCAGAGAAGCACAGAGAAAGAAGGGCCCCTGAGTGCTGAAGGTGGGTGTGGGGTGGTCCTGAGGAATGAGCAGCTCCCCCCTTCACTTGTCTCTTTCCCAGGGCCTGAGCCCAGGGTGCTATGATACCTACAACGCAGACATAGACTGCCAGTGGATTGACATAACAGATGTGCAGCCTGGGAACTACATCCTCAAGGTGTGCCTCCTGGTCTGGGCCCTCCCCCAAACCTGACTGATGCTCATGCTCCGGGTCCTCTGCTCTGACAAAAGCTTCAGCTTCCAGGCATGTTCCCTTCTCCCCAGTGACCACGCAGAGGCAGCCTTTGGGGCACCCCTCAAGGTTTATGCTTCCTATCGTTTCCCAAGTTTAGGCCTGAGGCACACATAGCCTCTCTTCCTATAAAGACCCTGAGGACATTCAGCCCAGCTATGGTGATGCAGGTGGAAGCAGTGTCCCCATCTTCCCTAGAGGACCAGAAAGCAAGGAGGACTTGGAGAGCTACATGGTCCATCCCTCACCTGCAGATGGGCAGACTTTGTGCCATCTGAGAGAGACATGAGAGAGAGACCTCAGCTCCTCACAGGGACCCCAAAGCTGAAGGCTCCTGAGACCAAGGAGACCCTTCTAGCCTGAACCTGTCCTGCTCCAGTGTGCAATCACTCCATCACCCCTTCTCTTGGTGGGAGGACTGGTGGACACAGCCCAGCTTGGTACAGCTGTGCAGGCCACATCATCATGGCTTCAGCTGGGGAAGCCAAGGCTTAGCCCCCTCCGTGCAGGTACAGCTACCTACCTGTACCTTCTATTCTGCCACACCCTTGGATCCACTCTATGCAAAAGTTCAGCCAAAGGAGAACAGTGAAGTTGCTCATAGGCAGCAGCTCTCCCTGTGGAAAGATGGCTGGCAGAGAGAGCCGTTCAGAACACAGTCACCAGGGGTGGTCCTCTGTGGCCCTGTCCTGAGCACCTCTCTGCAGGCTCCATGCATGTAACCCTGCTTGGTCTCACCCAGGGCTTGGGTGGTCCAGCATAGTGTATCCTCTTCCCTGCCTTGTTCACTGACTCACTGAACATGCACAAAGACCCTGCTGTTCTCAGCACTGGGCACACAGACCACATGAGCAGTGTGCAGCTCCTGCCTCTCAGGAGTGCACTAGGACTAGGAAGTAACATCCTTGCATCTCTTCCTGAATGTTCTGTACATAATGCCAGCCCCTTCCCTAGTTGATCCAGCTTTTTCTTTTCTTTTTTCTTTTTTTTTTTTTTTTTTGTACTTTTTTTGGCCAGGGCCAGGTTTGAACCCGCCACCTCTGGTATATGGGGCCGGCACTCTACTCCTTTGAGCCACAGCGCTGCCCTTGATCCAGTTTTTTACAGTGTGTCCCCAAAGCTCCTTTTCAGACAAAAAGCACAGGTTATGCCTGGGCCATCATCTCGGTGAATGTTGGGCACCTTGGGCTCCAGCGAAGGGCATGCCATCTGGCATCTGGTAGGACCTCCATGGGTCATTTGCACAGGGATGCCTAGTGAACGCTGTGAACCTCAGGGTCAGGGAGGTTGGGCATTGAGTACCCCCTCAGCTCCTCATTAGTCCCTTACCTGTGGCAAGACCTGACCTCTCTGGCCCCACGTGCCCTGTGCAGGGCTTGTCAGGGCACAGGCTCTGGCTTTGGGGAAGCTGTGATCATCTGATAAGGGGAGTGGATGATGTGTTCTTGAACTCCAGCTGCCCCTTCTTTCCTCCCCATGTCTCTCTAGCAGTGTACCTCTGTCTCCATGTCTTCTGGTCTCATGTCATCTTTCTCCATTTCCCGTCTCCCTCTCTGTCACCTCTGTCTGTCTGTCTGACTTTCCACCACCCTGCCTGGTAACCAGGTGAATACAGCCTCCCTGACTAGATCCCTTCCCTCTGGATTTCCCTTCTTCCTCAGGTGCACGTGAACCCAAAGTATATTGTTCTGGAGTCAGACTTCACTAACAACGTGGTGAGATGCAACATTCACTACACAGGTCGCTATGTTTCTACAACAAACTGCAAAATTGTCCAGTAAGTGCTTGCCTACTACCCTTCTTGCCCCAGGCCCTTTCCTGCCTGGGGGAGCAGGAAAGGCCACCTGAGATACCTAAGATGCCTGCACTTTGGGTTGCCCTATGGCCAAACACAGCTGGGGCTGGGCCCAGCAGAAAGGGCCTTGTCCATGCCAACACTAAGCTGAGTGCGCCTGGTGGGGCTCAGGTTGGGGTCCAATCACATAAACCAGGAGAAAGCAGAGTAGTTTGGTGCAGGTCCTTGGGCTCTGCAATCCCAGTTCTGTGACTTTCTTGCTCTGTGACATTGGGTAACTCACCTCACCTCTCTGAGCTACTTTTCTGAACCATCAAATGGTTACTTCTCACATAGTCTTGGGATGAGGGTTTACAGGCCTTATGTCTGTGTGTGTAAGAGCCAAGCACAATGGGCACTCAGTGTGATCATTAGTGTCTTTATCAAGTAGATTGTATTAAACAGACCCAGATCAGAAGTGACTCTGGTTGGAATGAGCTGTCATCAGTCCTTAGGTCCCCATTGTAGAGGAAATCAATAAAATCTGGGCTCAGGCTTTTGGCACATGGCTACTGGGCAGGGTCCTCAGCTGCTTCTGTCCAGAGCTGGCCGTCCTCAGTCTCTTTCCTGATTCTTCAAATGGAGTACTTGCAGAGGGACCCCCTGTTTATGAGCCCACAAGGACCCCCACCCCATTCCACATGAATTTAAAATGTGTGGTCATATCAAAACAACTCTTTTCCTTTTTTTTATTTTAAAGTAGTCCTAGAGCTTAAAGCTTTAATACAGCAACTAGAAGATAAGTGGTAGAGATCCCAAAGCCCAGAGGACATCTTTTCCCAAAAGTATATGCTTATCAATGGATGGAAGGTGTGAGAAATTAAGCCTGTCACTAACATCAGGCTCAGTTTGTGACTAGGGACAAGTCTCAATGTGTGACCAAGGGCAGGGCTCATTTTGTGACCAAGGGCAGGGCTCAGTGTGTGACCAGGGGCAGGGCTCAGTGTGTGACCAGGGGCAGGGCTCAGTGCGTGACCAGGGGCAGGGCTCACTTTGACAGCTACTACCACTAATTTACTTGATCACAACATGCCATCACTGCACCATGAGTATTAAAAATGAGAACAGCAGCCTCTAGTTCAGTGTAGAGATTAGGTTCCTCATGAATAGAATTAACCAAGACACAGAGTGTGTTTGAAACGACTGACTCATGCTCTGGCTCTGGCAGTTTGGCTCTTTGTGGGTCTGGGTCTCTAGTACCTTCCTGCTCCTCAGGGCCTGTCTCAATTAGTCATTCAGAATTCAGGGGTCACTGTTGTGGCATGTGCCTATAGTCCCAGCTACCCAGGAGACTGAAGCAAGAGGATCGCTTGAGCCCAAGAATTTAAGGTTGCTGTGAGCTATGATGTCACAGCACTCTACTGAGGGTGACAGCTTTAGACTTTGTGTCAAAAAAAAAAAAAAGAATTCAGGGGTCAGCAGTAGAGACAATTCTAGGGAAGGAGGAGGAGGAAGGAAGGCAGGGGTGTTCAGGAAGCAAGAGAGGCTGCTGGGGGCTAAGGGAGGCAGGGAGCTGGGAAAGTGGGATGGAAACAGTATCCCTCATCCCATGCCAGCTGTGCAGGCAGCCATAGGGGCCTCAGCAGGGCAGTCAGAGAAGCAGCCCTTGCCGGCTCCCTCTGGGCCTGTGGGCAGCAGCAGAGGCCAAGGCCCTTCCTTCTGAGAGCTCTTTACATAAGTGCTTGGAAAGGCCCAGGTCTTATTAGAGCATCTCCATGACCCTGACCGCAGGCAGGCGCCTGGGCCAGCATGCACAGGAAGCTGGACGGAGCGTTCCCAAAAAGGCCACGGGACTGACGCCTGTGGGTTTCCATCATGTTTCTGAAGAGGAAAAAGGAGGCTTAAAAAAGTATTGAGTTAGAAAAAACAAAGTATTTCTACATAGTAGCAGCTCTGCTAATGGCCTAGAAGACAATCTGGGACAATCTCTGGGAGGGGGACATGCCAAGACCATGCTCTAGGTGGGTGGGAGTTTTGGAGCTGGGCTGAGTGGTTGTCCCCTTGCCCTGTTGCCCAAATTCCTGAGGGAAGTGGAGGCCATGCCTGCCCTCCTGAGGGGGATCTGGGCTGTGGAAGGAAAGCCCTAGCTTGGGGCACCACTGGGGCCCTACCTGGCGGCCCACCATTGACCTGCTCTCTTTCTTCCCTTAGATCCTGAGCTGCAAGAGGCACAGATTGCCTGCCAGTCTACCCCCTTCCAAAGCAGGCCTTGCTCCACTGTCAGCCTCCCACCAGGGGGCCCAGCCCCCCAACCCACAGGCAGGGGCATCCTTCCCTGCCGGCCTCAGGGAGCGAACGTGGACCAAAACCACAGGGATTCCGGATGCTAGGCCCCGTTTTGTACTTCACTTTTCTGTACAACATTGTTTTGTTGGTTGTTGGTTTTTATTTTTTATATTTTGGCCATACCACAGAGCAAGATTGCCCAAGTCTGGGCTGAATAAAACAAGGTTTTTCTACTCTGTGGCTCTGTATGGCCTGCTGGCTGGCCATAGCTAAGCTGGGCCCAGGGGACATCCCTGGGCTTCATCTTTTCCCTTCAAACCTGGAAGGAGCATTCTCCACTCTGCCAAGACCACAGCTACCTCCACGGTGCCAAGCCCCTGATGGGAACCCTGTAGGGGAAGAGGGCCACATCCCACTGGATATGGGCCTTCTCAGCCTGCAGCCCCACATTCTGCTAGCACCACGGAATCCCCCACCCCCATGCAGTCACTGCTTCCACCAGACCTTATAATCCCTCATCTCCTAAGAGCTGGATACTGTATTGGGTACACACAGGAGCGTTGCAGTCCCTGCTTCCAGGGAGCTCACAGCCACACAGAAATGAGGGTGAATGCCATACCTAGTGAGACAGAACTTGGAGGGCACTGGGAGCCTTCACATGGAAGGTGGCCTCCTTCCAGGAAGGGTTGGGAGAAGAGGGCAGCCAAGCTAAGCCAGCCTAGGGGCCATTCTTGGGTTTCATCATCAGACTTGGTCCAAGAGCCAGGGCTAGACCTCCTGCTCACTGGCTGTGTGACTTTGGGTAAGTCAAGCTACACCTCTGAGCCCCAGTTTCTCCATCAAAAAAAGGGGAATGCCTTCCTGCATGGCCTACATGCTGATGTGGTGAAGCAGTGATACAGTGGTTGGCACCTCCAAATCCCTGAGAGATTTGTACTCAGAGATTCTACAATGAGAAGGCCCCCACCCCCTGTGGCTCTACTCCCCACGCCCCTTGTCTCAGAGTCCCTGGCAGCAACTAGATCTTCTGTTGAGGTAGAGAGGGAGGGCTTCTTGGAGCTATCATGTGCTTCTGGAAGGGTTCTGGCTGCAGGCTTCCTGGATCCCTGGGGCCACTCACCAGCCTGGGAAGCAGCAGGGTGAAGGGGCATGGCTGCAGCCCCCTCCAGAATTTAACTCTCAGTAGGAGCCATGGCCCTGCCACACTTACACTGGGGCTGGGCCAGAGCCAGGAGAGTTGAGCAGGAGCATGGACACAAGCCTGCTGTCCAGAGGTCACCCTTCTGCTGTGCCCCTGCCCATGTGCCTCAGAGATGCTGTCCTTACTGCAGGCCCATCCCCTCTCCTTTCCAGATGCCTCTAGTAGTGAGTAGGGGAAGTTCAGGTAAGGTTGCCAAATTCCAGACTGTCAGGAGCACTCTCTGAGGTGGAGTCAAAAATCCCCCATTCCTATGTTGGAAAATGGGGGCATGGGGCCACAGGCAAGTTTGAGGCAGACATGTGCTAGAACTCATATCTCTTAAGCCTGAGTCCGAGGCCAGACACCGAGTGTGTATGGTTTTGTGGGGAGAAGCTCGGTACCTCCAGACGTTTATGGGGGCTCAGGCCCAAAACACAGGGTAGGTAGGAGGAGAGAGCAGGGCTGGCTTTTCCAAAAGGAAGTACTTAACAAACTGAGGGGTTGGGAACACACACAGACTCCCAGACATGGTGTTCCTATGTATACAGGGACCCTCAACCTGGAGTTCAGGTGCCAGGGGGCTGGCAGATGCCCCAGGGTTGTTCTGGGGGTGCGGACACCTGGGCTAGTCCCCACATGCTGACAGGACTCTCTTGAGATGAGATTTATGGGGAAGGGTTTCCTTCCCACCCCTCAAAAAAAGAGAAGAGGCTTCCACCCAGATGGAAGTCAGGTAAGACGGGCAGGGACCCTGGGCAGCCCTCACCCTTCCTTGTAGCCCCACCTTGGCATCTGAACATCCTGTTAGTGCAGTCTCGTGGCACTACCCCAGCTGGGGAGGCTTCTTGGGAGAGAGATGTGGCCTCCTTGCACCTAGGGGCAGAGGCTCCTGGGGTATTGCCTCTGTAAGAAGGCAGGGTCTATGCACTGGGATTGGAGAGAGAAAGTTGGCAAAGATGCCAGAGGCCTGGCAGGTGTGTGACTGTCAAGAGGCACTGGGCTGAGTAGAAGCGATAGGGAGAGGGGCGCTCTCCCTACCTTAGCCTTGGCCTCTTAGGTTTACCTGGCTATGTCACTGTGTGGAGAAGCAGTCTGCTCTGTCCTCACTGTCACCTGGCTTCAGTCCCTCACTAGTGCTTACTGAGGGGAGGAGATCGCCTGGGCCCCTGCCCCTAGCCTGGCCCAGGTGTGTGGGGTCCACAGGAGGCCAGGTCACATGACTTTATAAAGAGTCAGGCCCACTGGCCCCCTCACCCTTCCATCTGTCCCTTCAAGGGCCAGCTCAAACCCAAATTCTTTAAAGCCTTCCCTAGCCATCACTCTCCCAATTAAGCTGAGGTGCACTGTGTGGCCTGCCCCAGAGCTTCCCAACCCATTCCTGCTATGGGCACACAAGGGAGTAGGAGGAGGCACCCAGGCCTGGCATGAGGGACACACAAAGGGTACACAGCTGCTGTCCCCACTCCTGACCCAGCACCTCCCTCAGCATGCTCAGAATCTACCTGGCTGCAAAAGGCCTTGGGGCCACCTGCCCAGTATCCCTCCCTGTCTTTTCTTGCTCAGCCCCAGTGCTGAGGAGCTCGCCACCTCCCCAAACTGGTAGAGATGTCCCAGAGGCCAGGTAAGTGACAGGGAGCCCTGACTGTTCTCCAATGAGCCTCAGTCTCCCCATCTCAGGGCTCAGTCCTGCCCTGAGCCTCAGGACTACTCCCTGTCTGGGAAAGAGAAGAGGAATGAAGAGAATAGGGGAGGGGAGGGGAGGGCTCAGGCAGTGGAGGAGGAAAGGATGGGTGGCAGCAGACTGCTATGAAACCCAGAGCAGGACAGACAGCAAGCATCTGTGGGCTGTGAAAGCCAGCACAGTGGCCCAGATCCAGACTCCTGGGCAGCCGACCATTCTGGCCACAGCCTTGGCCTCCTACCCTCCAGGTGCCTATGGTGCCACGCTGTACCACCCTACTCAGGGCAACAGCACCCTGGCTAAATGCCACCCAACCTGTCTCCTTTCTCACTCCACGAAAATCCATCTGCTTTGAGAAGCATTGTTAAGAGTGTATTAGGGAAACATCTGATAACTCAGGTACAAGCTGCAGCATTAGCCTGATGTTGTCCAGTCTGACTTTTAGATGAAGAGCTGCTTTTTTTTTTCCTTGAGATGGAATCTTACGTTGTCACCCCCAGTAGAGTGCTGTGTGGCCTCATAGCTACCTCAAATTCATGGGCTCAAGTGATCCTTTTGCCTCAGCTTCCTAGGTAGCTGGACTATAGGCTCCCACCACAATGCCCAGCTATTTTTAGAGATGGGGTCTTGCTTTTGTTCAAGAATCCCAAACTCCTAAAGCAAATCCTCAGGCAATCTACCCCCCTTGGCCTCCCAGAGTGCTGGGATTACAGGCGTGAATCACCACACCTAGCTAGATGAAGAGCTTCTTAAACCTCAAAGAATGGCTCTTAAAAGAGCACTTTAATAGACTTCTTGGCCAGGGGGTGGGCCTGTAACGGTATTTACAGATTCCATGAAAACAAGGTCTCCAAAGTTTAACCCCAAAGAGAGAGGGAGCCTGAGGACCCAACTTCTTACCCTGAGCCTCCTCTCTGCACTGATTCTGTGCACCTCCAGTTGGCCCACAGGCCATGGCTCAATGATGATATGCCCCTCAGGCCACTGGAGTCACTAGGACACCCTCAGCACCTACTGAGGAGGGTTCCCACTTTCCACGTTTATTCCAGATGGAGGGAAGTTGGCAACACCCCCTGCAGCCTTGGGTAGGGCCTACCACACAGGGGTGGACCCTCTCCAGAGGCTCCCCACCACGGTTGCATCTGGGTACACACCATAACCACTGCATTTGTTGGGAAGCAGCCGCACAGCTCCCCGCAGCGTTCCCGGCATCCCCCAGGCTGAGTCATGCAGGTGGGCCTGGCCAGGATTGACACCAGCTGCCCAGAGAGAGTGTGAGGTACTGCCCATGCCCCAGGAAACTCACCAGAGCCTATGCAAGAGGGTCAGGAGAGCAGCCAGTCCTGGGACCCAAGGGTGCACATGATACACGCCACCCTGAAAGTCAGAGCAGAACTTTCCGAGCAGGAAGAGAAGGTCCTAGAAAAGGTTAAATAACAAAACTCAGCACATGGACAGCAGAGGAGGCAAGCCTCAATTTTGGTCCCCAACCTGATTTACCCTAATTATGTGAAATCACTTTTCTTAAAAAAACTTTTTTTTCAAAATGAAAATTAATGTGCTTTGAGCCCCCCCCCCATACTAGGTGGGAAATTCAATGTCCTCATTCCCACCATAAAGGTCTTAAAAGGCCCAGAAGAGCAGAAAAGGGCCCTGTGGTCTTCAAACCCCTCCCTGGTCACCAAGCACTGGCGCACAGACTGACCCTCCAAGAGTAGGGTGACCAGACGTGCTGTTTTTGGCGGGACAGTCCCACTTTATAACAATTTGTCCTGCGTCCCGCAGCATTTTAAAAAGGTCCCGATTTTTGGAAAGAATGCATGAATGGGCGGAGAATAGGAAGGGAATATACGGTTTTCGGCTGCCATGTGGCTATTTTGCCAGAATATGAGTTTTATATTATTTTTGTTTATTTTATAGTGTTAAACTGGAATAATAACAAATAATTGTTGAGAAGTGATTATCGAGAACTGCTTATCAAAGTTTGCATTGTTGTCAGGCCCGGCCCTGCCCAGTCCCCTGCCCCACCCCCACCCCCCCATTTTGTCCTGCTTTACAAATGTTAAAATCTGGTCACCCTATCGAAGAGCAGTATCTCTACTTCCTGCAAAGCTTGAACACAAGACACCACCCAGCCATGTCCTCCCAGGGTCACCAACTCCCAGGCACTGCCAGGATCAGGACACTGTCCTTGCTACTAGCAGAACCATAGCTGCCACTTCCCCAGTCAGAAGAAGCTCTCCCAGCCTCTTCCCTCTGTCTGCCTCCACCTCCCCCCCCCACCTACTCACTCCCTTCCTCTTCCTCTCTGGGACCACCCTCTATCAGCCCCGCCATGTGCCTTGGTTCATGGAAGCAACTTTGGATTCTGA